ATTATAACTCTAGATTTTCTATAAGTTCAAAAAATCATACCTTTAACTAAAAAAAAACCTAAGACCGGTTGAAGAAGTGTCGTAGAGGGAAGCTGCACACAAGAGCCTCATCGGTGTGAGGCGGCGCCGGCGAGAGAGGCGGCGGAATGGTGCAGGAGAGGCGGGATCGGGAACGTGCGGGACAGCTGACGCAGGAGAGCTTCGTTCGGTTTGGCTTGGACGGATAGAAGGAAGAAGAAAATAGCTTTTTTATTTTAAACTTAAGTGAGTGAGACCCAATAATGAGGCGCACGCCTCAGCCAAAATTGCACAATTACCTAATTGAGGCGTGCCTCACAGTCCCTGAGGCATAAGCCTCAGCAAACGCCAAAATTACTTAGGCAATAAGGTTGCATGGGTCCAAATTGCACAGAGGCGAGCCTCTTATTGCGCAATTTTAAACTATGATGTGTACTTCATGGGTCATAACTATATAGTATCCATCCTAGGGAGGAAAATATCATTAGATTAAACATCAATGGTAGTGTCAGATTGTGAGTTATTACTCAAGTGAAATGACCAAATAAGTGATATGAAATAGGAACTGGACTAGAACCATCATAAGAAAAATCAATAGTAGGTGTGTCAATGAATGACTCAGATGATGCTTCTTCAATGTGTCATCATAGAAAGTACGTGCACATATTTTAACTTAGAGGGTAATTTAGTGGTAGTAGAACTATCCAAGGCATGTGCAACAATGGGTGGGTCATTTAACGGTCAATTTGGATTGTTCGCATATGATTTGATTGAAACTATTTTTTTACTATTATTCTTAAATAAAAGTTATCGAGTTCATTTTAGGCAACAATAATTTTTGTCTATGCAAGGTTTGACTTGACAGGACATGGATAACAACCATAGGAAAGATATCATGCAATTTATGATTTTCATTCTTTATCTATTTGATGGGAATTAGGCACCTAGATGTCACAGTATGGGATGTCTCATTATCCAAACTAATTTTGAAACGGTAGGGATGGGGTCGAGATCTTATATTGGCTCTTATAATTGCTGCATGTAATATAATATTTTTATGCTATCTTATTTATAGCTATTATAATTCTTTTTCTATTACTATTTGTGTTGATTTCAAATATTTAACATTGTTTGCATTCCTTCGATTCAAAAGCATGTTAGATGCTTATTAAATGTATAACCCCTTGATTTAAGATTTAAGACCATCGGCTTACCCTTTCATCATTTTAATTAGTTTTTTTATGATTTATAGATAGCATTTCAATAATAAATGCAAACACTTATATGTATAAGTGCTTTAAATTTTATAATCATGTTGCTCAATGAACTAATAATAAAATGGATGCATAGAAAAAAATTCCTAGCCTCCAAATAGTTACATACACCAGTTTTCAATCAGAAGAATAAACATGCTTAAGTATATGCAATCCATAATCAAATAAATATACCTTCAATGCTATAATTTTTTTATTTTCATTAAAAGGGTAGTTCACTATTTTTTTTAAGTGACACTTGCTGTTGGATTTTAGCCTTGGGATTGGTGGTCCATGGATTTCACTTGCTGTGGTGGGAGGCTAAGGATGTGGGGAACACCCTTGAGTGGTTGGAATAATTTTATTAGATGTTATGATTGAGAGGGAAGGGTTAGCCAATGGGTTTGGTCATGGCCGAGCTCTCTTTAGGGATTTGGATTTGAGCTCTCTTTAGAGATTTGGATCTTGGGTTTCTTGTGATGGAGGTTCTGTGGCATGTAAACAGTTTAAAGTTTTAGGGTAATGTCTTTAGATGTGAGCTGGAGTGTTCAGTGAAGTTCCAAGTGGCATAGCCAAGACAAAGTCATGGTGAGTTAGTTTGGATATATTTGATTTGTCATGGAATATTGTGTTTATGGAGGGGATTAAAGGTTTATGGAAGGGTTGGAATGTCTATGGAATTTTAGGAGGATGTGTAGAGACTAGATCGGGAGAAACTGGTGGAAATCCAATGTATTTTGAGCGTGTTATAGAGAGGGATGATTAAAATTAGGTCAAGAGAATCTTCGATTGTCATTTGTCTGTGGATGTTGTGTTGAAGCGAATTTGAACCCATTTTTTGGCAGATTCTTTGATTTTTTGTTGGCAAATTTCACTCCATTATTGGTAATAATGTCCATATAAGGGTACATGCATTGTTGTCGGATAAGTAAAATTGTAGATTGTCCCAGCTATTATCTTTGTTAACAACTTCACTTCAATCCACTTCGAGATGTAATCAATCATTATCAATAGATCTTTCTTTTTTTGCTTGTTTGTGGAAATGGTTCGTTCCCTGAACCGTGAATGGCCAGGGGCTTGATATGGGTTGCAGCTTTTGCTACAGTTGTAATTGAATGGGAGCAAATTTCTCACACTGCAAGCATTTCCTAGAGAAGTCTATGGAGTTTTTCTTGAGGGTCGGCCAAAGGTGCCCCTACCTTAGATTTTAGCAATGTCCTTCCTTTAGAGTGGCCACTGCACTCAACTGACTAAACCTCCTTGAATATTTTCTCCACCTCACCCTCCTTTATGCATCACAGGTGTACCGATGTAATTGTTCTTCTGAAAACCTTGCCTCTTATTATTAGGTAATGGGCAGCTTTAATCTTGAAGCTATGAAGGTCGGCTACTATGGGGAGGATTTTTCCTATCTTCATGTACTCAACGTAAGGATCTATGCAACTCACCTCGACATCCTCTTCTACTTGCATCACTTCCTCCTTTTCAATGGTGTGGTGAGACAACTTCAAGGAGTGTTGTTCGTGGATTCTCTGTCTTTTATAGCAAGTCAATGAGTTAGTTTTGCTTATTGCGGATTTAGGCATCTAGTTAGCTCATCTCTGCCTTCGCTTTAAAGATTTATTTTTGTTGGGTTTTATCATGCACTTCGTATTACTTATTGACTTAATTTACCACCTGCTATGAGTTGGAGTTGAATATCAAACTCTTTGCATCGATGCTAATTACAAATCTCCATCTTGCTACTAGGGCTTGCTACTAGGGCTTTGTACTTCTCTTAGTTGTTGAATGATTGAGACTCAATCTCCATAGCGTGTGCATGTGCTACCCCTATTAAACTTTTCATGTAAGTGCTGATTCCCTTCTCATTAGATGCCATTCCACATAAAATATCCATTGCTAGTCACATTCGCTTGTCCTTTGCTTCTCAACCTCTGAGATTGTGAAGTTGGGGAGGGTTTATGCTTGAGACTTGGAAATTACTCTGATATTGCCCCATATTAATATTCTTCCTAAATGATTCAGCTTGATGAGCATCGTTATTTGCAAGTTTTTGGTGTTAAATTTGTTTTGGATCACTTGGAAGTAAGGTATGAGTCATCATGCTGAGATGATTCATACCCATGCCAGTTTTTCCATGATGAGGTACCTGACTTTCCAAAGCATCCTGCTTATGTAATAAGTGGGCCATTGCTTCCTTCATTGACCAAGACAGAGCTTATTGGTATAACAAGTTCTCTCCACGCTAGGTGCTTTATAAGAGTGACGATGAGGATGCAAGCATCTTCAGTTGTTAGAATGTGGCATCACATTCTTCATTCTACGCAAAATGCTTTGTACTTTTGAGGGCTTTGAAGAATGACGAATGCCTCTCATTTGGCTTTATGATGAAGCAATTGAGACCTGCAACTAACCTTATAAGCCACTAATTCACTTCGGTGGTCCTCAGTGACAACTTGTCTTGTATGGCTTTCACCATGTGTAATTCAAGGGTTAAGCCTCATATTGTACCATTTTAACATGGCGAACATCTTCCTTAGAACTGAGATATGTTGCTTTGGCGACTTCCTTTTCTCTAGTAGGCCGTCAAAATGTGCACCTCAATGTTTCTCGTTTTTCTAGTCCATGGATCTACCGGGGGCTGAAGAATACATGACGCTTCAATACATTGTTGATCTTCACTAACAAGGTGGCCAACTTGAAGCAGGCGATGTGGCAGGTAGGATTTGACGTTCCTAATAAGGTTATAGTTAGGGTATTTTGAATTTCACTAGTATCCGAACTTCAGTGATATCTTTGAAGAATTTGTTGGTCAACTGCTTCTCCCAATTTCTCTCTTGTTGAGGCAGGAGAGGTGATTCTTTTTCACCGGTGTGATAATTGGTTTCATTTTCCATTGGTGTTTGAGGTCAGCGCTTTGGTGATGTGCCATTCTCTCTAACCTATCGAGTCTATGAATCCTTCATTTGCATGTGGATTTTCCCTTGGGACTTGTTCTAATGCTTATTGAGTCATTATCGTGATTTTCTCTTTCGTCTCAATTTAGTGATGTTGTATTGCAAATTTTTGGTTCTACGCAATGTTAACTGGTCTCTCTATATTCCTATGTTGTGTCTCACATAGTGCTTGGCTTCTCGTTTATGATGTTCGTCAATGCTCATTGTGTCTAAGAGGATATTGAATCCAATTTTTTTGTGGCCGATGAATTGTTCTTGCTATCAGACCATCTTAGATGACAAGTAGAGAAAGCGAGAGAACTAGTTAATACGAAGAAATTTATCTATGCTCAATAGTAAGCTCTGGTGGCCAAAGGTTCCAAAATACCCCTCGACACTTTATTTATAGTGTTTGAAATACACATTAAAAACTAATAATTAGTATGATTTTTATTATTACAGGCACGTTGACTAACTGAGAGGAATGCATGTGTCCTGTCATATTTTGACTTCGGTCGGGTCCGAGGGAGTTTCCTTTGATTAGTGCCCTCAATGAGTGACTTCTAGATGAAATTGTAGACTAAGCATGTATAGTAATTCTATAGCTAAATCTAGATAGGCAAGCGTCTGTTGTTGTGATGTGGTAGCAGTCCTCGGGTGGAAATAAATTTTCACTCATTTATGTTTTCAGTGATCAATGCTGGATTAACGCTTAATTGTCCAATTTGGAAATCTGACAGTTGAATGTGCATTGCTTTCCGTTTGGGTTTCAAAGATACATATTTTTTGACAGTGTTCCGAGGTCTCCATGCGACTGGAGTGAAGAAAATGGGAGATCATGGCCATGACGAACCATTCTATGTTCATGCGAAGCACATGTATAACCTGGACCGCATGAAGCACCAAAAAGTGAAAATGTCTCTTGGCGTACTGGCAGCCTTTAGCATTGGCGTCGGCGTTCCTGTTTATGCTGTCATTTTCCAGCAGAGGAAGACAGCTTCTGGATGACCTAGCTGCCCAACATTGAGCAATAATTCAAACCTTGAACCTGCCTTTTTTGTTTTTTGTTTGGATTGCTTAATACGCTGTAGGCTACAGTATGACTTGGTGATGTTCATTTGCAAGCAAATGAGTTTATTTGATTCATACCTCATCCAGGAACTGGAACTTCTTTCATGTTATTAAAGGTCTGATGACGACATGACGTACTAATTAGATCGATAATAAAACTTTCTGCTGCGTATCCTTGGTCGACATTTTAACCTCCTAATTTAGCATTTCTCATAACTAATACAAACACACACACACACACATATTATATATATATATATATATATATATATAACTTTTGGAAGAGAAGCGTTAAATCTCCATTTTATATTGTAATTTCTTCTTACGTAATCCACTTTGGTATATTTTGCACGCTTTAGTGGGCGGTGTAGAAAAACGTACCTATTTTTCTAGTCTCTATATAAAATAGACAGTAATAGTTTGGTAGTTCTGATTAACATATAATTATCCAAAATTGAGAGACTAAGGCTTCGTTTGGGATGGTTTTTTTACAGCTTTCTAAAACGTAGTTTTAATAAAAAATAAAAAAATTTGTACTAAAACTCTGTTTTATAAAGCAATAAAAAAGCCGTCCCAAATGAAGCCTAAGGCTTCGTTTGGTACAGCTTTTCTACTGCTTCCTAAAGCAACTTTCTAGTAAAAAATTGAATTTTTTTTACTAGAAAGTTTTTTTATAAGAAGCAGAAAGAAAGCCGTCCCAAACGAAACCCAAGATTTCATTTGTGATGATTTTTTTATTATTTCTTAAAGCATTTTTTTTTAGTTTAAGCTATTTTAAAAAACAGTAAAAAGATGTCATAAGCGAAGCCTTATGTAATTACTATGAACGAGTGAGTTGCTTGGAGTTTTGTTTAGCGTTGTTTCCATTTTTGTGAAGTTAATTGATTCGATTTATATAAAGTAAAGAAACCATCTATTAAAGGCATGTATTGGTAGAGTTTTACGTAATAGATGTATTTTTGAATAACGATGACTAGGCAGCAACGCAAATTTCGTTCAATTTTTTTGATTGAATGGCCAAGCCTTGACAGAAAGACTAAATGAAATATATTTTTATTATGTTTTGATTACAGCAAGGCTAGGTATATATAGAGTTATTATAAGCTACTAGAATGTAGTATAGACCGATACATAAACAGATACAGGCTGAAGCCTGTTATAGTGTTATTACACCCCCTCAAGCTGATGGACGGAGCCGGACAGTCAGCTTGTTGCGAAGATAATGAAATCTGGTAGTAGAGAGATATTTGGTGAAGATGTTCGCAATCTGGTCTTTTGTTGAGATCGGAAATATCTTAACAGCTCTGGTGTTGATGTGATCCCGAATGAAATGGTGATCGATTTCGATATGCTTGGTGCGAGCGTGAAAGACCGGATTATTAGCGAGGGCGATGGCCGAGGTTCTATCACAATGTAGGCTGGTCGGAGAGGTGGAAGGAATGTTGAAGTCTAGGAGTAGTCGTCTGAGCCAAAGGACGTCGACGAGAGCTGCAGCGATCGAGCGGTATTCCGCTTCGGTGGACGATCTTGCTACAGTGTGCTGTTTCTTGACGCTCCATGAGATGAGCGTATTGCCCAAGAACGAACAATAGCCTGATGTAGAGCGTCGTGTATCTTTGTCACCAGCCCAATCTGCATCCGAATAGGAATGGAGTTCCAAAGGTCCCTGCAAGATAGGTAAACCGAGTGAGATTGTGCCTTTAATGTATCTTAGTAAACGGTATAGCAGTTGAAAGTGTTGTGGCTCCGGATTATGCATGTGTTGACATAAGAGGTTGACGGTAAACGATATATCCGGTCGCGTGATAGTTAAATATTGTAGAGAACCGGTGATTTGTCTGTAGAAGGTAGGATCAGTTGATAAGGGAGTTGACTGATTGAGGTCAGTAGTTTTAGTACTAGCTGGATTTGCGAGAGTTTTGCAGTTTGGAGCACCGGCTAATTCAAGTAGAGACGTAGCATAGGCTGTCTGAGAGAGCATGTAGGACTCGGGTTCTTTCTTGATGTCAATGCCCAAAAAGCTGTTTGCCAGACCCAAATCCTTCATTTCGAATTGTTTGTGTAGCTGGTTGATCACGTTGGTGACCGTTGGAGCATGACTACCCATGATCAGTATATCATCTACGTAGATGACAAGGTACACTTGGATGTCTTCTTTGTGAAGTTTGAATAGAGAGGAATCGGCTTTCCCTGGAGCAAAACCAAGAGTGAGAAGAAAGCTGGAAAAAGTTTGGAACCACTGGTGAGGAGCTTGTTTTAGCCCGTAAATGGCTTTCTTGAGTTTGCACACATAGTTGGGGTGATGATCATCTTCAAAACCTGTGGGCTGCTTCATGTAGATGGTTTCGTTAATAGCACCGTGTAGAAAAGCATTAGTTACATCGAGTTGATGTACAGACCATTTGTTAGAGATAACAATGGTTAGTAAAATGCGAATGGTCTGAAATTTAGCTACAGGACTAAAAGTTTCGAGATAATTTAACCCATATTGTTGATGATTTCCTTGAGCAACTAGACGAGCTTTGAATCTCGCGATAGACTCATCTGATTTGTGTTTATTTCTGTATGTCCACCGGCTACCAAGAACCGCAGCATTTTGTGGAGGAAGGACGAGCTCTCAGGTACCTTGCTTTTGTAACGCAAGGAATTCCTCTGCCATTGCACGTCTCCACTCAAGTTGTTGACAAGCGGCTGTGTAGGAAGTTGGTTCTTGCTGGTGGATAGACTTAGACAGATTGAGGCAATGAAGCAGATTAAGGCGTTGAGTGGGTTTTAAAGAGCCTGTTTTCATTCTGGTGGTCATAGAGTGAGTTGGTTGAGCAGGAGCATTAGAATTGTTCTCAGGTGGTATGTGTGAGAGATCATGAGGCATGAGAGAATCACATTCAGGAATTTCATTTCCGGTAGGTTTAATGGGTGCTGTAGACGGAGTCAGGGATGTCTGAGATATTTTCTTACTAGGTTGCTGAATTGTGCATGAAGCCGATATAAGAAGAGAAGGTTGCAAAGGCGGCATGGGCTGAGTTGGCGAGTTGGTCACATGTTTAAACGGGAAGTGACACTCATTGAACACAACATGCCGAGATATATATATCTTGTTTGTTGTCATATCAAGGCATTTGTATCCTTTTGATATGTGTGAGTATTTGATAAAAACACATGTGCGAGCCCGAGGTTGGAATTTGTGACGTTGGTTTGTAGGGATCCAGGGATAGCAGGCGCACCCAAAGACTCTAAAGAGATTGTATTCAGGTGTTTTGTTGAAAAGCCGAGATAGAGGAGAACAAATATTTAGAGTTGCAGTAGGTAGACGGTTGATAATGTAGGAGGCTGTGAGAACCGCATCATGCCAAAAAGCATGGGGAATGGAAGCACTGTTAAGTAAGGTACGAGTTGTTTCAATCAAGTGTCTGTGCTTTCGCTCAGCTAGCCCATTCTGTTCAGGTGTGTAAGGGCAGGAGGTCTGTTGAGCAATGCCATGTTGAGTTAAGAACTTCTTGAAGTTATGATTCAAATACTCCGTGCCGCCATCTGAACGAATACACTTAATCTGAAATTGAGTTTGCTTTTCAATGAAGCTTTTGAAATTACAAAAGATTTCAAATACTTCATATTTATGCTTCATAAGAAATACCCATGAGAAACGAGAAAAATCGTCAATGAAAACAACATAGTAAAGAAAACCTTGATGCTAGGGAACCGGAGCAGGTCCCCACACATCCGTATGAATAATTTCGAGAGGCATAGTAGAATGAGAACGATTATTGGTGAAAGCTAGTTTGTGACCTTTAGAGGTCGTACATTCAGAACAAAAAGAAAAATTATGCGGTATATGAAGATTCTTGTTGGTAGTGGAGATGGCTTGGATGATTCTTGAGTTGGTATGACCCAATCTTTGATGCCAAAGGGACGCCGCCTGAGAAGTCGCGGTGAGAGCCTTTTTGGGAAAGACAAATGTTGTAGCCGAACGAACCGGGTAGAGTCCTCTATTGCTTGGGCCTGAGAGAATTGTTCTGTTTGTCTTCATATCCTTGATCGTAAAACCAGATGGATTAAAGTTTACAGAAACATTGTTATCTTGCGTGAGATTAGACACAGATAATAGATTATGAGATAGATTAGGAACATGAAATAAAGAGTTGAGTTTAAGCTTACGATACGGTGTTGGCAGAATACCATTGCCGGTGTGAGTAATGGAGAGGGATCTGCCATCACCTACAGTAATGTTATCCGGGCCATTGTATGAAGTGGCTTGGGACAGATTTTCCATCGAGTTGGTAAGGTGAGCTGATGCCCCCGTATTAAGGTACCAATCGTGATTATTTGAGTCAGTTGCCGCAACCAGTGCTCTGGATTGAGGGTTCGGAGCGGTAGTATCCGGAGGATTTACTGTAGTGTTGAGGCGGTGCCAGCAGTTATGTGCAGAATGCCCTTTCTTATTACAGATTTGACATTGAGGAATGGGAGTATTCGATGTTCTAGCTGGTTGGGATGATGGTTTGACCCTACCGCGTTGTCCACGTCCCCTGTGGGAATACAGGGCAGTAGATGAATCGCTGAAGTTAAGCTGCCGCAGCGACTCCGACTGAAGATTGATTTCCTCAGTTATGAGCAGCGAGTAAAGATTCTCAAGATCCATGGGTGTCTGCATTGCACGAATGGTCGTTTTGAGCGCATTGTATGATGGTGGTAGCCTGTTCAAGGTGTAAAGAAGAACGTCCTCTTGATCAAGAATCGCTCCAGCAGATACAATGTTATCCACGATTGTCTTGTTTTGTTGTAGATACTGCGCCATAGTTTGAGATTTCATCTGAACGGTGTGTAGCTCATTTTTGAGCTGAATTACACGCGAGCGATTTGAGGATTGTAGTCGTCGTTCCAACGCACTCCAGATCTCCGATGTAGAAGTAAGATGAATGACGTATGGTAGAATAGCCGGAGATAGGGTGGAGCAAAGGGCTGCGGCCAAATTTTGATCAATGAGAACCCATTCTTGATGCTTTGGGTTCGGTACTTTGCTTCCGGTTGAGAGAGTTTTGTGACTTGCCGGAGGAGTAGCTGTCGGCAAGAGAAAAGAGAAAAAGCCATTTGCATTCAGGAGTTTT